GATTTGCTGAACCAGTGTTGATTAGCACCGGCACACAAATTTTATTGAGTGTGAGTAAGGTGGCAAAAATTGGCACACTTGCAGCTCTCTGGTATCGCCCATCTCGCCGAGCACAAGGGGGGAAGTGCCGATGTAGTTAAAAATATTCTTATTTATAAAACTCTGGACAGCATCATCGCTGTTGCTGCAGTGTATGTGCCACCTAGATATCCCTGCAAGTTAGATAATTTTAACACACTTTTTCAAGGACTGGGTAGACAGTTTATTGCCAGAGGCGACTACAACGCCCCCCTGGTGGGGGTCGAGACTAGTAAACCCAAAGGGTGCTGAGCTGTATAAATGCATAACGCATAATAATACTCAACCTTGTCGACAGGTAAGCCAACAAATTGGCCAGCTGATATGAGGAAAATCCCAGATTTACTTGATTTTATTGTATACTCTGGACTGCCGCAAAAAATTTTATAATAGAGGAGAGTTTTGATTTAAGCTCTGATCACTCACCCATTATTTTGTCATATGGCTCTATAGTTTGCTTCAAGCACGTGCATTTAAAAATTGGCTTGAATAGAAAACGAGGCTAGACATATCCCTAAGAACAGGGGAAGAGATAGACTCTGCAGTTGAAACATTGACTAACTCTATTCATGTAGCTGGACATATCTTTACACCTCCACCAGATGAAAATTTATATAGCCAAACTTTCCTACCTCTAGAACTAAGAGCTCAAATATTCGCAAAATATGGCAAACAACTCGAAGCCCAACGGACAAAAGAAATTTCAACAGAGCTGCAAAGGAATTAAACATTAAACTATGGGAAATTAAAAATGAAGCGACGGCAGATTATCTATGAAATCTTGACCTATACACCAGTGACCTAGATTATAGCCTATGGAGAGCTACAAAATATCTAAAGATACCTGCCAGAAGAGCAACCATAATTACTGACAGCAACGGCCAATGCTGCAGAAACAATCTTGAGAAGGCTGAAGCATTTGCAGGGCACTTAAGCTCAGTTTTTAAGCCTAATGCGGAAACCGATACTGACACAGTAGACGAGGTAAATCATTTTCTGGAATCAGTCTGTCAAATGAGCCTGCCGATAAGCCAAACAACTGTTTCAGAGGTAGAAGAGGAAATGAAAAAGCTAAATAAGAAAAAATCTCCTGGATACGATAAAATGTTTGCAAACACTATTAGAATTCCCCCAAAATACATACTGACATATATATATATCAGTTAAGCGCTCCCACACTAGAGTACTAGTGATTGGGGACGCTGTGTAGGGTTCTTGTGAATATACAACAACTTAGTGTTCAAAGAAATAATATATTTTATATAATTTGGAACCATAGGTCTAAACTCTCCCTAGTCCGAATATAAACTGAACTAAATCTGTTCTACTGGTTAGGTTCTCCCCTTGAATGTCTGACTAGACTTTCCAGCCAGGAGGCTAAGGATAGATTGTCAATAGTTTTAACTCTTCCCCATCTAAATATCTGCGTCCCGCAGATCAGGGTGCATATGTTTATTATAATGATATTCATCCAATATAAATTGTCCAATATAATAATATTTATCCAATATAAATTGCCCAATATAATGATATTTATCCAATATAAATTTATTATCCATAGTCGATAGTTCCAGAGTCCATAAATTAGCATAAAGAGGGCCATCGATATCCACCTTCAAGTTAATTCAAAGCATTCATAGTTCCATACATTTAGTATTNTTGTCATGCGTGAAGTGGCTATAAAAAAAAGTAAATAAATGCTTATCAGTTAAGCGATGAAAAGGTAAATATATTTCGTATTTATTCCGATTTTGTTACCAGCGTGGGCCAGTTGTCGAACGAACCTGGAATAGATTAGTGCTCGTCTCAGTTGAAATGAAAAGGTATATTTGCATAGTACTGATCCTCTTAAGTTGTACGCTGAGTTCTGCTCGGGCGCAAACAACGGATATCCCAGAAACCACAGAGAATACGGTAACCACGGATGTCCCAGAGAGTACTACTTTTAAGATCCCATTCTATTACTGCCCTAGGTTTGAGGGCACTGCAGTAGATCTGAAAGGCGTAAGTTAAAGCACCGTATTCGTAGGAGAGACTATTTAATACTCTATTCCTTGCCCAGCTTTCCGGCTTCTGGTTTGAGACGGCTCGCGGCTATAACCTGGATAAAATGGAATGCCTGAACTACACAGTGCCCGACAGCCCCAACGATAAGAACATGGTGGAGCTGCAGCTTGAGTATGTGGATGCCGCCAACAGCAAATGGGATAGCGTCAAGAAATCCACGTCGTTGCTCTGGGATGATAATGCCAAGAATGGCATCTTCACATGGAATATCGAGGAGTCTAGCAGTAAGACCGTCACCTATAAGTTGCTTGAAACGGACCTTACTTCCTACGCCTTGTTCTGTGGCAACTCAGATAGCACGAGCCTTCCGCTCTTCAAAGTCTGGACACGTAATCGCCACCTGACTGACGAGCAGAAGATCTTCATCCAAGACAAGTTCAAGGAAATGCTAAATCTCCAGTACCTCAACTATGTGGAGCAATCAGAGGAAAAGTGCAACAACTCCGCCATGAGAGCCGCCGGAGGAGCTTTTCTTGTACTGATACTTGCGCTCATCGCAGGTGCTAGAAATATTTAAGATGTGAATAACTACCTACTGAAGTAGCTTCTCCATAGCACGGAAAGTAACCTAATTTAAAATAATTAAACAGCATTAAAATATTTGAAACTAGCTGACCAGGCAAACGTTGCTTTGCTCTATCCATTATTCCTAACTTAGGAATCCTAAGTAATGGATATTTTGTACTTAAATATAAAATAGCTAATTTACTATAAGTGTGTGAGGATGCCGTTATAGTCGAAAACGTTGTAAGCAACCGAAGTATGCTTTATTTTTATACCCTGAACCCAATGGGAAATCACGGTATAATGGGTTTGTAAATAAAGTATATATATTCTTGATCAGGGCGACGAGCTGAGTTGATTTAGCCCTGTGCGTCTGTCTGTCTGTTCGTCCGTCCGTCTATCCGTCTGTCCGTATGAATGAACGCGTCGATTTCAAAAGATAAAATAAAATGTCCGTATTTTCAGCGCGAATATCGAGCTTATCATTAAATATCGATAACTCATCCAGATCTTTTTTATCGATAAAAAACCTAATCGAAAATCAGTTATATAATTATATCTCCTACAACCTTAAAACTAAAGTCTCTCAATTTTTAATGTAGATTTATATGCAATTTATACAATTTTGGTTTTTGTTAAAATTTACCCCCACGCCTATATACCCCCTCACCATCACATTTATTTGTGTGTGTGTGTGTGTGTGTGTGTGTGTGTGTGTGTGTAAGCAGAAAGACGCGAAAAATGATTGAAATAGCTATTGCTCAAAGGGTTCAGGGGATCTCGTAGTCGAACAGTCTCGACTAGAGCTTTCTTACTTGTTATACCCTGAACCCATTGAAAATGGATGAGAATTTATTTGTTGAATAATTTCTTTTGTAGACTCACAATCTAAATGAAACTCTCAGAGCGTAATCTCATGATGAAAATGTGTGTACATTTCAAAGCACAAGTCTCCAATACTTGAAATAAGTTTTTTACAAATTGATGGTGAAGGGGGCGTGGTATCCAAATCTGTAAATTACAAATTCTCCATCAACTTTACAACGCAAATTTGAAGTCTCTAGGTCTAAAAGTGTTCAAATTAGGCTGAAAAAACAAAGTCGATTTTTCGATTATTCTCGATAAAAAGTTATGAGTTATCAAAAAACTGTGATAAATTTGTACTGTGGTATACACGAGTATGCATGCCAAATTTCAGCTCTCTAGCTCTTATATCTTCTGAGATCCTGTTGCTCATACGGACGGACAGGGCTATATCGAGTCAGCTCGTCGCCCTGATCACGAATATATATACTTTGTGGGGTCTGCCACGCCTCCTTCTGCCTGTTACATACATTTCAACAAAACCGTTATACCCTGATTTTGCATTGAAAATGGGTTCAGGGTATAAAAAAAACGTATTTGTAAAAGTTTCAAGAAGATAGTCCTACTACAAAAGAAATTATTCAACAAATAACAAGAAATATTAGTGCGTGTGGACGTATGTGTATGTATGTATGTGTTGATAAAAGAAATACACACTGATTAGAATATTAGCTTAGAGGGTTCAGGGTATCTCCTAGTCGAGCAATCTCGACTTGTCATTGTTTGGTTGGAGCAATCGGGACTGACGCAATAAGACGATGACGACTACTATGACGCGGAGCAACTATTTTGGGATGCCACAGGTGGTGGCCCCCCACATGACAGCATAGTTTGTCTGCCTGTGTGTCTATGTGTGCGTGCGCTGGTGAGTGTGAGACTTGTGGCTATAAACAAATTGCCGCCCGAGCTCTGGGCCGCTCGACATCCTTAGCACTTTTAATGCCGCTGGGAGTGGGAGTGCCAAATAGGATGTGTTATCTGCTCGCACTCAGTTGGCAGTTGGCAGTTGACTGTTGGCTGTTACCCACTCCGCCAGCTTATTATCAAATTCAGTCAATACCGCGTCGCAGAAACCCACACACAGAGAGTCAGGGCAAACAGCTTCATTTTGACCTGCTGCCCTAATGGGGGTCGCACACAGGAGTGGGTGTGGGTGGCTGAGCTTAAGGGGTGGCTTTCGGGTTGCCTGGGCTTGGTATGGTATAAGTTGCTGCTGCTGAATTGGCGCTGAGTAAACAACTTCTTTATCGCCACGATACACGCCGCAGTCAGATAAATGTGCCCAGCCCGAGGTCGTTCATGCACAGGAGGATGAGAAGGAGGAGGATGGGCGGCAGCAATTGCTGTGTATCTGTCATACATTGTTATTTAAAATAAAAATTAATAATTCAATTATGCATCAACATTTGCGGCACTGACCATGCCGACTAGCTCTCTCCCTCTCACTCTCTCTCCCTCTCTCTCTCTCTCTCTCGCTTTCTCCCTTCCTCCCTCTTCTCCTCTTTAGAGAATGCTCGGTCTGGTCACATCTGTAGGTTTGTTTGTGTGCCAGCCAAATTGCCGTGATTTCATTCAATTTGTCGCAGCAGCAGGAGCAGCGGAGCAGCGGCAGCAACAAATGTTGCCACTTGCTGCCCAAATTGTTTTCGTTTGGGTGAGACGAGGCCCAACCCCCTCGTAGCTTGTGCAAAATGCGCAAATAAAAGAAAGAGAACAGAAACAAAAACAAAAAACAGCAGAAGCAGAAAAGTATTCTGTCCAACACCCACTGTGCCACATCCCCTGCCCCGTCCACACGCCCAGCCCAGCCACATCGGCAGCGTCAGCTGGCGCACTGTGTGCCAATGCCCAATTGTTGTTTGTATGAGAAAATCTCGCCTAATGGCGTTTTACATTATTTGCCGCCTGATGCCGACGACGACGACGACGTCGACAACGCTGCCACGGCCAACTGCTACCAAGGGGCAATGTTGGAGCTCTAGATGTATCTAGAGAGATAGACATAGACGGAGACGGGGCTGGGGATGGAGACGGGCACGTAGTCGATGTAGACGCAGACGGAAACGCAGAGCCTTATAGCCACTGCCAGATGTAGCAGCTGCAGCAGCCGTTGGAAGTTACGTAGTACGGCGATTTGAGCCGCCAAGCCTTGTGGTTGGGTCTCTTCGGGTTCCGCTTGTGGCAAGCTCTGTGCAACTGGACGGGCCCGTGGAAGCTCCGGGTGTGGGCAGCCAGAAGATGAATGGCCACTTATTGCATTGGCTGGTTTTGCACAAGCTCTGACGGTCAACTTTGATAGCCATTGCTGTGGTATTGAAATGTAACGGCAAATGAAGGCAAATTTAGATTGATCGATGGATAACTAGATGGTTTATAAAGTTGAGATGAGTCCCTGTGGGGTAGCAAAGCACAGTTGGATAATTTGGATGTGAATTCCTCCAACTACAACTACAAACTGAAGAAATAATATGCGAAATAATATAGCTTGTGGGAAATACCAAATAAGCTGCCATACGTCTATTTAATATGGTAATTATATTTATATTTTACAATTTTGTTTATCTAAGGACTTAAAAACAGCTAAGTAAACAATTTTGATTTCAATTCTTGGCTGGAAGTTGTCCTTAGGGAACTGAAGCATACGCACCAGACTCAATCGCTTATTTTGAGCTACACTACATTGCCCACTGCTGACACCCTCTTCTGGCTGGCCTATTCCTGATTGTAAGCGCATTCCCATGTCGCACATAATCCAACGCAGCTGTGAAAGAAGACGAACCCAAATCCCCTATACCAAGGCGAAATCGCCTTTAATTTGCTCGCTCATTTCGAGGCTCAGTTGTGTGCTGCGCTGCGGGCTTACCACAGACGGGAGGTGGTGTACACGGAGGGAGTGGTGGGGGTGGTTTGGCTATGTGCTATGTGTTTGTGAGTGTGTGAATCTGAGCATTTGACATGGTGTGAACACGCGCACAAGGGGCCATTTCAATGCTCTCAAATGCACAACAACTGGCGTGGGGTTAGCGGATTGTTTCATCTGACTTTCGTGTGAATACATGTGTGTGGGTGTGGGTGTGGATGTGTGTGCACAATTGGTTGGCAATTTATTTAAATATCGGCACGCAGTTGGAAACGCAATGCCAACTGGAATTTCATGGCAAGTGAAACACATTTCAGTGAAAATAAAACGAAACAACAGCAGCACCAGCAGCAGCAGAAGAAGCAACAACAACAAGAGAAGAGAAATTTGGGATGATGAGCAAGCTGCCAAAAAGGAATTTTTCAGCTGCCGCCGTCAGAGGCAGCACGACAACGGCGAAGAAGGGAGGCTGCGACTGCGACAGCGACAGCAGCTGATGTTAATAGCCCAGCGGGGCCAAACGCCGGCTGCTGCCAGGCGAAGCGAAAGAGAAGAAGTGCAGACTGCGACGATGTCTGGGCAGGCAGTTGCTGCTGTTGTTGTTGCTATTGCTGTTGCTGTTGCTGTTGCTGTTGCTGTTGCTGTTGGTGTTGTTCCCGCGCATGGCCCTGTGATAAGCCAAACGGCATAAGGTTGGGGTTGATGTGAGCAGCTGAACAGCTGTTTCTGACGCGAGCACCAACTGCGCCGGCGCCTTGCAAACTGCAAGCGCACGGCGAACGACGAGCCGACAAGCCGACGAGTAGCCGAGCAAGCGAGCCGAGCCAACGTCACGAAGAAAGAAACGAACGACGCAACCGAAACATGTGCTGGACTACCTGAGCAAGTCGGGACTGAAACGGCACTCACAAACCAATTCAACTTTCAACTGAGTGGACGTCACGCAGTAGAAGCAACAGCAACAGCAACAGCAGCAGTAGCAGTAGCAGCACAGCAGAGCAGAGTCAGCGTCGCAGCGTTTCTCTCAGTTTTCGGGACTCGGCATTCCATAGCCGCCATTCCCAGTTTCAGTCGTTTGGCAGTGGCCCGACATGCCGGTACAAGAGTCGCATCTACGTTTTCGCTCTCGCCAACAATTGTTGTTGCTCGCGCCGCGTCATGAACAGCAGCAGCAACAGCAACAGAACCAATAACAACAATATGAAAATGGAAAATAAATAAATAATAGAAATATGTGCAATTGAATTTATTGAAGCGGCACACGATTTGTTTCACATTGGTTGATAGTCAATTACGCCCCGTCATAGGCAAGGCGTGCGCGTGATT